TAATCTGAGAGAGTTCTCCCGTCTTCCAGTTGTTTTCCAGCGAAGATTAAACGTTGCTGGTCTGGAGGAATTCCTTCCTTGTCTTGAATCTTTGCCTTCACATTTTCAATGGTGTCTGAAGCCTCGACCTCTAGGGTGATGGTTTTACCCGTCAGTGTCTTTACAAAGATCTGCATGGTTCAAGATCTGGAGTACTAAAAAAAAAAACAAATGAGATTGAAGATAAATATGTTTTTCCAACTGATAAGTTAAATTTTATACCACAACATTATTAATGGGAGTAATATTATATATTTAATACTACCTTTTTATTCGTAAATTAATAGTAGCTTAACCTTTTAACATTATTACCGCAATTATTTGTATGTTTAAAAAAATGTCTTAATTGGAAATCTTTTGTCTCAAAGTGTAAATATCATGATTGATGAATAATTTGTTCCAATATAAAATTTTTTCAAATCCAAATATTGTATGCACCATTTTATACTGATACCAGGAAATTCAATCCGATTGGTCCATCCATCTCGAAATAATAAACAATACAACAAATTTCGTTTTTTTTTTGCAAAACATGGGATAAAAAATGTCAAATTGCAAAATGTCTTAATAACAAGACCAACTAGAAGACATGGTCTACAAGATGCAAGAGGTAATTGGTGAAAAGACATAAAAGAAGGAAACATGTTGAATTGAGTAACCTCCTCCTTTTTCGATGTCGGTTAAAAATATGGATAACTTGGAAAAATGATTATGTAGGGAAGGAGAGGATACAATAACTATGTTTGTCCCATAAAACCTTAATAATTTTCCATATCTTGAAATTCAATAGAGTTATTCAGGTGTTCTATTTTCCATGAGTCCATTTGCATAAGATAGTTAATATAATACCCAATTTACTTATTTAATTTTAAAATATCATTAAATTTTTTAATCTGTTTAGAAATACCATCAATGACGTCTTGCCACATCCTCAAAAAAGTTGTTATACCTATATGATATTCAAGCGAAGGAGAACGTGTTGATAATTCAGATGCCGACTAAATTGAAATCAATAGTGACAGTGATAAAACTCTATCTAGTAGGATTCCTTTTACAGATATTAAACAGCAAATTTTTGGAAATATTTAGCAATCTACAAATAAATAATTATCTGATACTCATACATTTGTAATTCTCTTTGTAAAAAATAAGTTATTTTTAACAGAAATGTTTTTACAATACTACCATCTTTTTTTGCACATTTACTGAAAAGAACTACAACCTATTAAGATTCATATATACAAAGCTAATATCAAATAAGGGTTAATTATAAAGTAAAAGATGGAAATTTTATTGTAAAGCACAATCAATTTCATTTTATAAAGCACAGTACTAAAAAAAAAGCTTAATTTTCTTGAATTACAAAAAAGTGGCTAATATTTACATACTTTTTAGAAATAAGAGACTATATGGTTTATAACCTGGTTTTGGACAATGTGTAAGTATACTATAGTTGTCTTTATTTTTAAATCATGAAGGACAAAGTTTAACCAAGAGATGAAATTTTTCGCAACTCATTGAAAATTATATTTCTCTATTCTCTTATTGTTCTATAGTTGAAAATTGATAACCTTTTGCCTAAAACAATCTCTGATTCGACAGATAATTTGATATAAATTGTATAAAATATTATATCAATTAATGAACTTTGAAGTTACAGTTTACTCATTTCAACAGCTCATTAACAGAAACAAAGGATTATGACTAATTACTTTAATGCTTTGTAAACGAAATATACTTTAAATAAAAAAAATAACTTTCACTCTTGGGATATTCCATTATTACTTATCTCAAACTACGTGATCAACAATTTCATGTCATCTATCTGCTTTACATATTTTACAAACTCATATTGATTTCAAGGTGACAATATGCATTTTGACTACAAAGATAATGCTGAGTAAGCAAGACATACTAAAATGGCGTCGTATTGAACTTTCATAAAAATGCAAACATTAGCAACGCAATGACCACAAAAGCATGTATGCCTCAAATCAGAATAAAAAATATGCATACGAAACATTTGTTAATTAAATTTTTATATAAATGTCATACATATTAGTAATTTGTAGTAAAGTATTGATCGTTTCAAATTCTTTACTCTCCAAAATGGAGGATGGATGACGAAACCGTTAGCTGGCACTTATTATAACATTTATCCAACGAAAATATTTTGTTACAGTTATAGATGAATTAATCAAACTATACTTACGTGCGCTGAAATAATTTATAGAAGAATATATCTGCAACGCAAACCAAACCAAATTTTATACAAAAATAATTATACAGAACCGTACCAAATGATACAAGCAAACCACACGAAATGGCATTGACTGGCGTCAGAACCTGCTTATATAGCTACATAATACAACTACCAACTGCTGAACACGAAATTCCCTTCACTGAAAAATTATAGGAAATATTCAACATAATTTTAGACATCTATTTATAAATTTAGTATTAACGAACAAAAACTGTATATTTTTGACATTATAAAGAAATAAGAAATGTATATTTATGGTACATACATAAAAATCTAAACTATTTTATTGGCTTTTCATTTTAATATTACTAGTATAGTTATCAAGAATTTTTTAACTTTTAAACGTTGATAGTAGATTTAATTTATAATGTGAAAATTGTTTTCCAAAGAATGTAAAATTATTAACAATAGTAAAATATTCTATTAAACAATGGATACTAGTATGGCTGCAAGTGAAAAAACAATCATATATGCTAATTTTCCACAATTTAATGAATTATGCTGTGTAATTTGTAAAACTGATTTCATTGAAGTACACGAATCCTCAACGAAATCTAATTTTTATTTGCAAACTTTGAAATGTCGGTAAGTAAGATTTATACACATTTTATTTTATACTTTCAATTATAAGATTCATTTGACGTCATGATAGTATGATTTTAGATTACTAATTCATTTAATTTCCGACGTAATTGCATCGCCAGTTATGGGAACAGAGAATTTTATATTCGTTATTACCAATAAACCATTCTTCGAAACTGGGAAATTAGAAACAATTTTAAGATACTTAAAACTAGTGGTTTGTTAAATTATAAATCATTATGTATTTAAATAGTTTATGAATATTGCGACAATAATTTGCATTGTTGTTTTTCGTTTTTTTTTTTGTCAGTATCAAGGAGTGCGACCAATAACTACTGAACTTTATAAAAATTGTCTTCTTTATGCAATACAATCTAAAATAGCTCCCTCATGGAATAAAGTTGGTCAATATTTTCTTCAAGGAAAAGAATTTTATAACTCTATAGATGCAATCAAAGCATTAAAATTGGATATTCGTATAGAGGGTATTCAAAAATCTTATTAATATAAATGTAAAGATGAATTTGTATTATTTAATTGAATGAATTTCAGAAAAGGAAACGTATTTAATATTTGAAACAGTAAAAGTTAAAATTCCGTATATAAAGCTTGAAGATTATCTTCCATCATCTGTTATATCCCAATTTTTAGCAAATCCTAATGGATACATAGATTTATCTTATTTTAAGTTACCACTTGTACATGTTCTACCAAGGTAGCAAGAGTTTCACTAATTTACTATATGTATTTATTAAGTTTCAAGACACAAAGTAAACTGTGCAATTTCTTTTAGTACAAAGAAAGGCAGACTATTATCTGTATCTAAAGAAATTCCAACACGAAGTTTGTTTAAAGATTATGACCAAATTCGTAGACATTGGAAAAATATGGTAGATACGATTAAATTCAATGTATATTCAATAATCCAAGTTATTTCGAATTTAATTTCTATAGAAATGTACTATGTTTTAGTATGGCTATTCTTTACCCAAAAATAAACATGGAATTATATATTATGAAATTAAATTTTTTATACCAAGATCAAATATTTTCACTTATCCTAATTTATGTGTTGCAATTGGTCAGTTGGATACTATTCCAAATAGGGAGAAAGAACTTACAATTACATGTTTTTTATCTAACATGCTTGAAAAAGTACCTAAAATTTGTGGTAACCAGTTACTAATATCAAAAGTTAGTTATACAATATTGATCACACTAGAACCTTTAGATAATATATTGGAAACTATACTTACCATTCATTTATATAGAAACCTCTAAATGAAAATTTACCATCCAGTGGATCATTAGGAAATAACATATTAGGTAAACATTTTAAAGGAACAAGTGATCCCGTCTCAACTCTACAATTAGAATTTTCCATTAAATTAGTAGATGAATTGAAAAAAGATACAAATATTACTTCTACATTGTTAAAAACACAATTGGATAAGATTCATCAAATCCATAATTCATCTCTTTATGATATTATGAATACAGATTTAAACAATTCGGATGTTAAAGAAAATCAAAGTGGTAATAAACTACCTACATAAACATATAAATAATTTTTAGATTGAAACTGTTTTAATGATTATAATTTATTCATAGATAATGTAGAAACTGTAATAGAAGATTGTACTGAAGCTAGTACATCAAGAAATTCAAGGGTTAATTGTACTATAACCAACCAAGAACAAATTTCTAGATATTTTAAAGTTCAAAAACCACACTGTGTTATTAATAAAGAAAAGGTAGTCTTTCCATTTTTATACCTTACACATGTTTCACTATTAATTTTCATTGTTTTATAATATTACTTATATTTTTATTTTAATAAAATTAGCGGATACAAGAAGAGAAACAAAAACATATAACACTAAAAGAAAAATTGTTAAAAGCTAAATGCAACGAAAGTAATAGCGTACCGTTACAAGAAATGGTAAGCAGTAACAAACTTAAAATTTGCATTTATAGACTGCAAATAATGGTGTAATTCTTTCTGTAGAATCAAGATATTGACATAGAAGCAATGGCAAAAGATAATAAATTACATGAAGTAAAAAATACAGTTTTAATTAATTGGTTAAAAAAGCATTCTATTCCACATAAGTCTAAGGGAACAAAAGCAGAACTTATTAAAAAAGTTTTATCTCATCTTAAAAATACACAAGTATTGAAACAATATCGTTTATAGATACAGAAATGTTTTCTTATAACAAAATTGAATATAACAGTGTATAAGTATGTATCCAGATCAAAACATGCTTTATTTTATATATGGATACTATATGTGTCATACAAAATAATACTTATTATATAATAATAAATAAAACTATATATAATTTAAATATTAAGAATAATCCATTATCATTTAACTCATCTACTTGTAATATTCTATACTACTTTGGTTTCATTCATTATACATTTCTATATTAATGAGTATTTATAATCCTTATAACATTTAATATAGCTTTTCTGTCTGATTCATCTTTTATGCCAATTTCAATTAAGTCTTCATCTGTAAGAGTCATAAATAGGTCAATGTCCACCTAAAATATGTTATGTAGTCATTAAAATATAATGCCTATAAAGTAAAATAAAGATTCTATGCACTTACTTCTTGTTCAAGAAATATAGGAACATGTTGACTCAATCCATAACGTTTTAATAAAACAAACATTCTTGCTTCTTCTGAATAGAAGACTCTTCCTTTAGGTGGTGTTTTATAATGCGGCGGAGTTGGTGTATTTCCTCCAAATACATTTTCATCATTTATATCTGAGGGTACATATGGTGAGCGAATTGGACTAAATTCAGTTATACAACCAAGTGTGATATTAGGATCCTCTTGATCATTTTTGAGGTTTAAGTCTGGTGGACGGATAAACTGTAATCTTTAAAAAAGAGTATTAAATTAGGATAAGGGGATCATCTAATCAGGAATTATTTCTAATGTAATATACATGTTAATATACCTTTGCAGAGGTAGTTTAGTTGAACAGTTATTATTTTTTGAATATTCTGAGACTATTTCAGTTTCATCTTGAATTATTTGTTCCTTTTCCACGTTGTTAGTTACATCAACATTAACTTTATTACCATGATTATTTTGTTCAAAATATATATTTGGAGATGCAAGTGATATTTCACTGGCTGTACAAGTCAAAAGTGGTGAAATTAAACTATGTTGTGTAGAATTTGAATGTCCTATCATTACATTTAATTTGTAATTTGAACTTTTTTTTGAATCTATTATCATGTTGTTGTTGCAATCGTCACTCTTTACTTCTGGAGAGTGAAATACAAAAACTGGTTTTATAGGAAGATCTGAACATGATAGTTCATCATTATTTTCATTTTCTTTCAAATATTTACTTTTAGTATTATCAACTAGATTCTTTTCACTCTCATTTATTAATTTTAAAAAGTGCCTTTTTTCATTTGACTCTATTTCTACAGGAATATTGTCGGTGTTATCATTCCAATAATCTTCTACATCAAGATGTTCTTTTGCTAAATTAACTATTTCAGGTACTGTCGATTGTTTCATCATAATTTGTGTATATTCATCTATAAAAAAAAAAGTAAAATAAAATGTTCCAAGGTATTGTATAGTATACAGGTTGTATACATATGCGACATATCAGTAGTGGACTGAGGACCTATCCAAGATATCAAGCATTGGAAACAATTTAATAGAATCAGTTATACTAGCTTAGTATGTAATTAAGAAGTACAAATGTCTAAAAATAGCTATAATTTAAGAACAAGGTTAAATAGAGCATGTTTTTGTAAGAATTTGTTTATTGTTTTTGTGTTTCCAATCTACCATTACAGTAAGCCTCATATGTTACAATACACCCTATATATTAACTTTTAAAAATACTTATTATCTTACTGCTTTGAGAAGTTTCGAAGCCCAATTCTAATAATTTAAAAAATAAATTCATGTCATTTTTCATAGCAGCTATACAGAGTGGCGTAATATCATCGTTTATACAGTTTAATAGCCCAGATGGGCATGTTTCATATACAGTTTTGAACATATTTATATTTATTGCAGCTGATAATCCAAGAACTGACATACCTATATATTATATGTTAAAGGAGAATATGATCTTTTATTGTAATATAGTATTATTTCTTTAAGAAGAAGAAAAGTTGTTTCCTCCTCTGTAGACTTAATTATTATAGGGAAGAAATGAATGTTTACCAAGATAAGTATATTCATTTACATTAGCTCCCTTTTCTAATAGAAATTTTACAGTTTCTGTATGTCTATTACGAATTGCCAACATTAATGGTGTCCATCCAAATTTATTTTTTCTGTCAATAACAGAGCAGGAATTTTGTTTTCGTAAAATTTCTTTCACAATGTTTAAGCAACCATTTGCTGCACTGATATGCAATAAATTGTCCCCATTGCTATTTACTGTATTTAAATTATATTCTAATAATAAAAAATTCTGTTAGCACTTAATACAAACTTTCTTTATAAGTAATAACATGAAAAAAGATAAGTTTGTGTTTTCAATGTTACAAATACTGTTTTTAATTACTGTAAAACACTTTTAGTTTAAAATCTTTAAATTATTATTTTTACTTGATGCAAGGCTTAATATATACTTTATGAATCAAAACATTTTTAAATTTAATTACAAACTATACTTTTGTCATTTTTTATAATTTTAATGTAAGTGTAGATACTATATGCATAATTCATATTAACATGCATTACAGAGCATTTCTAATAGATGTAAATAAATGAATAAAAATAATAAATAAATATTATTAATACCTTCTTCTTGTAATGTTTTTATGACTTCTTCTTCCACAATTCTTTTTATATTATAATTTGTTTGTTGTGTGATACTACTTTCAGTGCACATTATTAATCTACAGCACATTTACTCTTAAACAATATTTGGTATGCTTTCCAAATGTTGAAGTGCGACAGTTTTAAATATTATTAGTTTTTCAAATTAAATACTGAAAGTGACCTACAAATAATTTTTTTCTGTTTTCTCTCATTGTTTGTAAACTTCTACAATTGAATTATTTCTCATGTCTTGTTGAATTTAAATACGTAATGTAGAAAAAGTTCTACAAAGTTGAACAACATGAATTGTGACATTTAAAAAAAAAACTTATGTTATCGGATCAAATGTCGAGTGTTTTATTTTACATAATTTCCGCCAAAAATGTACTTATCTTTATCAGTTTTCTTTACTGATGACATGGTGGCAGCACAGTCTTATAAAATGTGACGTGCACGATAATTTCTGACAGCATTTGAATTTCATTTTTTGAATCGTGTGTTTGGTCTGGAAAGCTCGTTCTTTAGACAAATTTTGACAGTAGAATTTCTGCTTCTGTTTCTATAACCTGAAAGCAACGAATCATACGTGACTGCTGTAACTCGACATATATTTTATCGCGATTGTAAATTGTAACTGAATGTAAGTTATTCTTTATTGGGAACATTTTCTTAAGTTCTTTTAATTTAATTTTGCGCCTTGCTAGTAGTGAAACAGTTCGATTCATCTCTCCAGTATATATTTGTAGTTTTGTTCAATACTATGATGATTTTTTCATAAAAGGATCTTGCTAGGTTAACTTTCAGACGACGCCGAGATCATATTTTTCGAGGTGGGGGCACTAATTAAAAGAATGAGAATGGAGAGACAAGCACATATCGTTACCGTTAGCGGCTCATTTTTTTGAATCTTCATTAAACTTTGTTTATACACGCTGTATTGTTAATTATATTTGTGTATGTTGAATTCTTCTTTATTCTTGTGTGAAACATTATTGGGTGCAGAATCCTATTATAACAATATGGAGATATTGAACAGCTCTTAGTATATCTCTTATTTATAACACACAGGAGCTTTATTTGATCCACATATAATTTGTTGTTTAGAATGGGAAGCAGCGGCCAACTGTATAGTCTCTCCTGGGGAGAATTTAGTTCATCGTTAGCTTCCTCGGTGCAGCTATTGAGAGGTCATGGTGATCTAGTTGATGTTACTTTAGCTGCCGGTGGGCGCAGTTTTCCTGCACATAAGATAGTTCTTTGTGCAGCTAGTCCATTTCTATTGGATTTATTAAAGGTTTTAGCATTAATTGTCTTTTGTAAATTTCATAATACAGTATTGTCCTACATGTTGTCAGTAAGTTGTACCTTGTGTTGTCACAAAGTTATGTAGAAAATAGAATTTTCTAAGAAAATAGAAAATATAAATCTTCATAAAAATATATTACATATGATCACAATTGTTGTGAGATATATAATTATTATGCTTAAAATATATTGCAGTGTATCATTCTCATCTTTAATGTAGACATAGCTTAGTAGCCCTTGCTTTGAGGTGAGATAAAAGCAATCAAATTTCATCTGTCTGTCCTTGAAGGTACTATAGCCTGATTCTAACTGAGTGACAACTTGAAGGACGTTACTGTATATATATATATACATATAGTGTAATTTCTTTGAATATGCTGTATATTAAAATCTTTGTTTCTACATATATTTTGTTATTGCAATTCATTTTACATGAGCAGAGCACACCGTGTCAACATCCAGTGGTCATGTTAGCTGGTATAGGTGCTGATGATTTAGAATCATTGTTGGAGTTTGTGTACCGTGGTGAAGTGAGTGTAGAACCATCTCAGTTGCCTTCTCTGCTTCAAGCTGCTCATTGCCTTTGTATTCATGGATTAACACCACCTACTATATTAACCGAGGTATGTCTTATAAAAAAGATTTGTATTAAATTATTATTTTTTTATTTTATTTAACTTTTACAATCATTTTTATGAGTCTTGTCAAAATATAATCTTGTTTATTTGTTTAGAATGGAGAAGAGGTACCAGCATCAGCAATACCAGCAGCAAACGAATCCTTATCAAAGGAAACTATTAGTCCATATTATCCATTAAAACGACGGAAGAAAAGACGAAAATCCTCGTCGTCTTCTGGGAAATGGCCACGTACTAGTAGTAATACTGATAATGAAAATAGAGCCATAGATGGAAGCGATAACCGATCAGCTAGTTACGATCATAAAGACAAAGAGAATGCGGAACACGGCGATGATACAGGTAAGAAGCATTCAAAGTTTTGCACAATGGTGTTTCTCACTTATTAAAACAATTACAAATTTAAGAATATATTCGAATTGTAATCTGACATTAAATATTTATTTAATATAACGATAAAATAATGTTATTTTATAATTGTTTATTTTAATTATGTTTTTACTTTTATTTGTTTATGAACTATAAATTGAAATGATTTGATCATTTTTATTGTTATGTATATTTAATAATTAGTTGAGTAAAACTATCTTAACAAATTGAAAATATTATTACTTGTGTTTTGTGTCCGATATATCTTGTTAGTCGTTTTTCTCGTTAAGTTAATATTCATGTTCCATGAATATTAATAAATAAACTTTCAATCTTTCCAAGCTTTCTGCTTGTATTAGAACGGACACAAGCACAACCATCAATTGGGTTGAACTGCATCTAATTGATTATACTGTATATTATAACTCAGAAATTTCAGATTCAAAAATCAGTTCAGCCCTGCATGATAATATTGTGTTTGTGTCTGTTAGCAGCGAACGATCGATTGGAATATTCGAATCATCGGAGTTGTCATTCGCCACGTGCACAAGAAGCGCAGCCGGTGCCGACAGAAAATTCTCAAGCAGGACCTCATCAGGATCAAATATCGGACAATGAGTTGCATCTTCATACTTTAATGCCAATGCAGCCATATTCTCCACTGCACATACCACAGTTTCCAGGCCCCCTCAGTATGGGTTTTCCTCCTGGCATACCGCTTCCGTTAGTTACCCAGAGTCCCACTACTGCAACAGCATCTTGCGGACTTACCGGGAATATGAATTTGTCTAAAATACGTGGTGCATCGGATTGTCCAGGTGTTTGCCCGCTTTGTGGTGCTACGTTACGGCAAGCAAGAAATTTACGTAGACATCTTTTATCATCGTGCAAATATAGGTTTAGTAGTAATCCGGTTCCGAGTTCTCCGGCTGACCCGATGATGATAGAAATAAAACCTGAAGTTGAGTTGCCCGGTTACAATGAGCAGTCTATAACCTATGGAACTGATAGTGGAAGTAGTACTTGCGAGCAAATAATTTGTAAGCCTAGCCCACTTCCTTCGCCAACGTTGCATGGGCCGAATGTTGTCTCACCTCAAAGCAATATTCCTTCTCCAACTATCGCCAGATGAATGTACAGTGTGGAATTAAAAGCACAGATTTGACACGAGCAAACTAATTATTCAGTGAATCATTTAGTTCTGTTATTTTAATTCAGGGTCTACCTTGTTATTTTTTCAGTGATCTGTTCCAGCTCCCGTAATTTAAGGAAACGCAATCTTTTTTTTATCTATCGGTTTACTGAACCTCTACAAATTTTTTGTTTGGATGGTTTATGAAATATGTATAAAAGAAATGGACTGACATTACTTTAAATAATTTGTCATAAATTGATTGTTATATTATTTGTATAGTTTATTTTATATTTCTGAATAATAAAGATTTGGCCAATTTATTAGTCTTTATAAATAACCAGATAGTAATGTATTTGAAAATTTAATTAATAACTGAATAAATTAAAGAAACCACGCGGTTATATAAGGTTACTTCATATTATTTACAAATTTTCAAGTATAAATCATGTGGAAATTTTCAAAGCAATGTTGTGAAGTATGAGTTATGAAAAAAACTCAAATTTAGAGGTCGGAAATGTTAATATCTAGTTCTTGTAACGACTAATAAATCGATTAAATGTAATATTTTTACTTAGCTATGTTTTTCACTTATTTTTTTACTGATGCGGATACAATTAGTTTGAAACGATTTGGAGCATATCAAATCAAGTTCATACACGAAAATCTTCCACAATAGTAAGTAAGAGTAGTATCTTAGGGTTAATGCGAATAGCTGTTGGTGAAAAATTAGGCATAGTAAAAATGGTAGTTTATTACAAAACACTCCTGAATTTTCTATAATCTTTAGATATTCACTTATACAATACTATGATCAATTTCATACAAACATATAGAATAATAAATTTAACTTTTGAGCATATTTTACATTTCTTGTGCAAAGTATCATATTACATTGCAAGTGTAATTATATCAGAAGGAGGAAAATACAAGTATTTATGTTAAAAATGTCGTTAATTATTTTATTTCTTTGTGTTTAACATATTGCGTTCGTTCGCAACAATTGTTATAATTTTGAATTTTGAGACATTTAACTGTATATTAATTCAATTGCTTCCTTTAATGTTGTTTATTATTTTATATTATCATTTATATTCAACATTAAAAATTCATGAATCTTGTTTAAAATTCCACATGTCATATAAAAGAATGAAAGAAACTATCAGTTTTATTTCGTTCACAAAAGTATTCGTAAAAAGAGTACAAAGTGGAACTCCAAAATACACCTCTAAAAATGTTTAGATTGCAATATTTAAAATATTTTTATAAAGTGAGTTTTGCGCGTTTACACAAACATGTTTTTTTTTTTTTTAATTTTATATAATTTTCTACTAATATTTCTAGACAATGTAACTCAAAATAATACGGTTCCTTTCATTCGATATTCGATAAATTAGTGAAATTTTGTGGAACACTTGAAAGTGTTTATACATTAGACAAATATAAATAGACGTAACTAGTTGTAAGTTTAAAGAAAGGAAAAAAAATTTTAATTGTTTCTTAGAAAGTTTGTGATAAGCAGATGGAACCTGAAATATTCAGCTTTAATACGATAAATAAATAATAGATTCCAATTTTTTTGATTTAATTTTGTATTCAATTTTAACATTGCGAAATAAATATTAGAGATAATTTCGTTTGACTGTTAACATTACAAACGATATGACGTGCTCAATTGTATTCATTTTTAGTTCGAAATTATAATAATAAATAATTGTATTAACTAAACAAGTAGAGAAAAGATGATTCAAGAAATTTTAGATGTAAAACATAGAGGAGATCCGCATAGGAGGTTGACGTTCGTACAGATACGTATCAAGTGTTCCGCAGGTACTAATTTTAATTAAACTGCACCTGCTCGTGGTATATCGCACGATTAAGTAGCAACATTAATACTGGTAACAGTTTGTTCAAGAGCAACAAACTTCAAAATTTCGTACAGTAAAATTTCACCACTAATTCATAAAACTACAAGGAAACATATATTGTAAATACAAATATATATTATTATGAAATAATTTAAACAAACTTACTCGATAATAAACTCTATTCTAGCGAAACACAAAGTACGCGTACTGGATAGCAAGATTTTTAAAATTTCGATTCGTATTGCTCGACTTTTACAATAACTTCACAGGACAATTTTTTTATGGAATCAATTTTTGTTTAAATTATATGGCGGCAGTGATACGCTTTAAACGCGTTTGTGTATTGTAAAAGTACCTACAGAAGTTGTAGTTTTTATTAAAAAATACCGTTGTTTTTTCTTTCTTTCTTTTTTTTTAATAAAAAGGTAGCCTTAAACGTTTCACAGCTATATCTTCAGTCTGAGTTTCCTTTCGCTAACTGTATGATACAGATGCAATCGAGGGGAATTATTTACACGATGAGATTCATTTCCTCCGAATCATGTTCCGTACGCCCGATGACGAATGGCCAATTCCTTTTCGAGATTCTTTCGATCTCTCCCCGTAAGAGACTTAAGAGATCATCAAGATATCGCATCTCGTGGATGTCTTGTCGCAGTTTGTTCGTGCTGGACGAGATATCCGTCACTTTCCGTTCGTCACACTGAAAAATAGTCCGGTAAGTTTTTATATAATCCCTCTTTTTCAAGCGAAAGATCATAATAATATATGACAAAATTAGCTTTATTAATGAAAGTATAAAAATATTTGAAAATATCTCAGATTCAAAGAATCAAGGAAATCTTTGTTGTATAAAAAAGCAGCTTTAGGATTTTGTTTTTTAATAAAACATATAGGGTACGAAACGTATCCGATTTTTACGCAAATTTTTATCGAACAACCGCGAGATGACGCCACCAGCGCGAAATTTAAATTTTGAATGAAAAAAAAAAAACGATAAAGAAGCCACAAAGAATTCCCCATTTAATGTAATTATTGTGGTATGGTGAAAATTAAAATTTCCAAAAACATGCATCCTTAATTTCAACTTGTAGTTTACACATGTGAATTTTCACGAATGAGAAACAATATTTAGTATAAATTAACAGTAAAAAGGCATTTTTTCAAAAATAAATTATTCAAATAAATGAACAAACAATTTCTTTTGGCATGAGTGACAGTTTGTACTTTAACTTTCCAAAAGAGAATATTTGCTAGGATTTCTCAATTAACGATCATAAATCGAAGGATATTTACCTGAAAACTCGTTCGCAGGTTACATATATCTTTGTAAATATCCTTGCTGCTAGCCTGAAGCTTCTCCACTTTCATTTGAAGACGGTGTACTATATTTTCGGAATGTTCAACAACTTCTGGCACTTTTGTATCCGTTTCAATCGCCAGAGCCAGCCTGGTCAATTGATCGTGGGAGGAAGTGCTGTTGCAAAAACGATCTTCTTCCAGAAGAACCATCGCCTTTTCAGGATCCGTGTCGAGAGCTTTGAGAATTGATACTACTTCGTTGGTACGGGTACCACGTTCCTGTAAAGTGATATGTACCTTTACATTATTAATGAGAGACTTCAATGCCTCGTTTGCATTAAATCAATAACAGATTAATTTGAGCAACGCAAACTAGTTTCTCAAGACCTTCATTCTTTTCTCATTTATTAAATTGTGGTTCAGAATTCGCAAACTGTCTGGGGAACAAAAATTGGTTCCATAGAGGGTTTGTTCCGTCTACAACGCGATTCGAATACGCGATCTCGGGTTGTAAGGCCCGTTACTATGAGTAGTACGTCGAAGACTCGGAACGTCGCACGCCAAGTTAATTTTGTGCGACTCGTTAGATTAATTGCGAGGATTTTGAAGATACTCGTAGAAGAGCGTGCGTGATACTGACTTCTGTGATCGACCTCAGGAACCTCCTTAGCGAGAGGTTGGACTTCCCTTTCCTTTCGCTATTTCCCAAAACACACCCATACGATCCTGTTTTGGTAGGAGGTCCTTAGTGTTGCCAATCACGGAAGTCCTTCTAAAGAGAAGAAAGTTGCAACGCCCTTGCATCATTCTGCCCGTGAAGTAAATTTTCTCAAGAGCACCAAATGTGCAAGGCGCGCAAATGCTGTAAATCTAGATGAAAGATTTACGCTCGGTTCGGCGCGTGCTGCCGCGTAATAAGGCAATAAATGGCCAAAATGTAGGAAAACATTTGGTCGGCAAATGCTTGACAACCCTACTTGTTGGCCGCCGCATGGTCAGGGCGGCCCGTGGCCCCGAACGTTCCGAATGTACCCTCTTTTATGACTCTCAAGTAGGCGCTGAGTCGTTTTACCTGAGAAGTCGTTGAGAGTCGAGATGGTCCGTTAAATATCATCGCGCAATATGCAACAGGGTTAATACGAGACTATTACCTGTGAAGAGTCGAACTTGTAATTCGTCGAAGCTAACTCGTCGAAAAGACACAAAGGCGTGTTTTGCGTGTCGCTGTGAGTATCTGAGCTCCAGTCGTTGCTCTGAATACCGGAAGTGTCCTCCAGAGAGGAGCTCCGCGTGTCAATCTTTTTCCAGTCCTCCCAGGAGATAGAAAGACCCTCCTCGCTGGATCTTTCGCTGAGCAAACCAGGTATGTTCACGTTGGACGACTTCTTCATATCTTTTCCATTTTGGGTAATTTCTAATTTCCCGTTTTCATCGCTGTCGTAGCTCCTTCTGTACGCGTTCCAATGATGTAAAACGATCGTTGGCACTGCTACTTCCGCGGAGTTGGAACGAACGAGGCCTGGTCGAACATACAAATTTTTTCAGTCAGTTACGCTGTCCTCCTTGATAAATGGCTCAAACTCGGCTTTGGTTGGAGACTCTTAACAGGTATGGTAAATTATTTCAAAATATTGAAACGGAACGTTTATGTAGAATACATGGAACAGAGTTCTTATGACTTGGAAATGTAAGAATATTTCCCTAATCAAAATAGAAGCATGTTAAGCGAAAGAAAAGTCGTGGTTCAGGATCACTTGTATTTGAAGAAAATGAAAGTTGTGACAAAGATGTGTCAAATAAATTACCTGTAAATACAAAAAGAATTCATCTTGTCATGATCGATAAGAAGACATTTTTAAAAAATTCATTTGACGAATTTAAAAATTTCGTCCACTTGCGCGTGGGCACGGACATGATTTCGTTACTGGATTCCGATGTATATAATTCAACAGTCTCCTTAAATGCACAAGTTTCTCTACGATAAATGGACAGTAACGTGATCAGCGCGCGCTCAGCTGGCTACGCCGCGACCTAACGTAACCAGCCAATCTTGGGTCGAGCTTATGCTTTCGCGAATGATAATGAGCGCGCATTAATTGGACACTGTGATTGGTCGGTGTGTTTTCGTAAATAATTCAAAAATGAAGCCCCCACCGACTTTATTCCAAAGCAAATTGTTGTTTAGAATCGTGTCAGGTACCCTCAATTTCCGGTTCTTACTAGGCCTGTAGAAAACTCGGATGTTTCGAGTTGCTCGCGAGCCGAGTCGAGCTGAGACCAAGTTTTCGATCCGAGTCGAGTACTCAGAAGAAACGAGCAGCTCGGACCAAACCGAGTCGAGCAAAACTCGGCTCGCCTTTTCCGAGTACTCGAACGGCTCTAGTTCTTACAGGAGTTCTGGGACACCCTGTATACAGTTCTTCGTGGTCGAAAGGTTAAGGGTCCAGGGGTTGAAACGAAAAATACATCTAACGAAGGCGAAGCGCGCCGATTCTGCGTAATAGTAGAAAGCGAAACTTTACTAGGTCATACACAATGGCCGGGTTATGTGTATTCAAGTTAGCTGACAGCAGGCTTGTTGGAACAAGTTCGGGATCTGGCGTGCACCGTTCCACGGTCCGCGAGTGTCGAACGGGTACGGGGTTCCTCAATAAACAGGAAAATACCTACCAACTTGCTTAGAGTCGATAAGATAATTCAATCGCCGCCGGCAACGAAGCGCCTTCCGTTGATTTTCATTTTCTGGCATGATTCTCGCTTGAGAGATGGACAAGTAACGGGGCGACGGGGTGAGTATTCTATACTCCTGAGATTTAATCAACCTTTCCGGGGTATAGCAAACGGCCTGGAACCCGCGCGATTTAGATTTCGACTCGTCGAAGTAGTTTTCGGCTTCTTTAGCTGAAAATGGCGTGACCTCCTGCAATTTAAAAGAAACATGCTTAATTTTTGTAACGGTGCCTGGAAAACTGATACGTTCAGAAAGTTACCCAGACGTTAAATTAGTTTTAAACCGAAGTGAACATTAGACGTTATACAGTTCGCGACAATTGGTTAAATGCAGTAATATTTTTCCTGTGTTATACTTTACGAATAATCGAAAATGAATCGGAGAATTTGATACGAGCTAGAAAAATGTCGTCAAAACTTGTCATAAGACAATGAAGATGAGCATAAACGACTGGTTTTCCTAATTCTTTTGACTATTTAAAGTACAGGATTTTCCAAAAGAATCTTTAGAATTTTGAATCGTAATCGTCGGCCATATTGGTTCCGACATTTTGAATTTTGCAATTTTGCAGATTCAAAGTTTGCGGCTCAAATAACTCAAAAATACCAAGTTTCGTGAAGTTCCGAGAACTCTTTCTAATTTTGCCCGCATTTGTGACCATCCGGAATTTCAGGAAAAAAGGTCCCCCAAGTTTTCAATTTTTATCTCTGAAATTAAACGTCATATGAATAAACTGTATATATAAAAATGTTTCGTTTCGTCGTTATCTATAAGGTGATATTTTTTTAAATTCGATTGTTCCGACTGTTCTTTTTTCTTCTTTCCTTTAAGACAACAGCAACAGGATCAGACCACTAACGATCTCAGGAAAAAGGTCTTTTAAGTTTATAATTTTTATTTTTGAAACTAAACCTCCTACGAATAAATTGTAAATATAAACAAAGTTCCGTCTAGCCATTCCCTATAAAATATTTTTTTTCAAATTCATACCTCTACGCCTCTTAAAATTTCGAATAAAAATCATCCCGCGGTCAAAGGGTCAACTCGGCCGCGTCCAATAGCGTCGCATCTATGCAAATCCGGATTTACAATCCGGATTGACTTAGAATTCAGTCGCGCTACGACCACGGGAAACGTGGAACATGACAACTTTTTTATATTTGAAACAACGTGTCACGGCTGACGCAGATGGCCCGCCCGTACATTGGAATCGTGCTTTGACAATGAGTAATTATTAAATGACGTATTCCGTATGGGTTGGAACGTTCGTGTAAAAGCAGCTTTTGCAGTTACAGAGTTTTGTTATTTTGTTAGCTTTATGTATTTGTTTTGCCACCGACAGACGGAAACGTATCGCTGTGCGAAACAACGCCTCTCGGTGTCAGCAGACCGCAGTGCGTCAGAAAAGTTTACGACTAATGACCACATAAAGTCACGGTCGCGAATTATCTTATTTTGGCTCGGAGAACATTTACTTTCACGCAATATCGCATTTGATTCATGACTGTATCGGAATTATACGTGATGTATATTTTACTCTACGAAATGGAAAGATGTTTAACGAATCCTCGGGATAATTCCACGGTTCAACTAAATGAATTTAAAACGTAAAAAAGTTAATAATTTTTTATTAAAAAATCGGATATATTCTACGTACACCATTGCGTTCTATTAAATGCAATTTATCTTTTTTGTTAGAACAGCCAATGTTTCTACACAGAGCTTTCTTTTCTATAAGTGAAATGCAAGTCGAAGAGTTACTTTTTAGTTCAGTCTCGAATAGCGGCAACCTCGATATCTTTTCAAAATACTTGAAATAAATTGAACTAAATACTTGAAAAAGCAAGAAAACCAATCAAAGGTATAATAAAATTAATACGTATTTTTCAAATACGCGAGTAAGACGTACTAATTTTATCATACGTTTTCACTGACGTTCTCTATCGCTTCTACAAACCCTGAACAGTGTTGTTAGAAATGTAATTCACTTAATAATTGACATTCAAATATCAATTATTACTTGCAATTGAGAATTGATCAATTGTGATGGCGAAAGTTCATTGTCTGCTGCAATTTTAATTGAGTTTCACTAAATTAGTCGTACCGACTGTGCAATAAGCCAAATACTGATTCTTTAAAGAGTAAACAGTTTGTACTTACCGATTCCTTTCCAATCGCATCTTGTTCGATCAAGTTCACGTCGAGATCCTCGTGAATTAAAGACGCGAGTTCTATCCTCTCGCAATTATTGTTTCGTTCCTGTCTGAATTCCTGTGCGAGAGAATAACTATCGTCGTCCTCGGAATCAATGCAGGACAGCATCGACTCGGATGATCCCAAGGACAGGCAATCCTTGTCCTGGTTGGTCGTCGATGAGTTTAATTTGTTTTCATTGCTCAGCCACCATCCGAAATCGTCCTTGTTTGAATTTTCCACAAGCTTCGCGATGCCATCGTTTCGTTTCCGACAGAACATTGTTAAATTCTGCAGTTCTTCTGCAGATGATATATCGACTTAAATCTGAAACAAACGAAAGAACATTGTATCACGTGAATGTTAAATAAAATTTATTTGTATTAATTTCTAAATTTTTATTGATACCGAACTATTCATTAAGCTGCTTTTACGGACTTTTGCTATACAGGGTGTCCCAAAACTCGGGGAGGAGCCGAAAATGGGGGGTAGTTGAGACGATTCTGAACAACAATTTCCTTTGCAAAAATGTCGGATGAGGTTTCGTTAAGGAGATATTAAGTGAAAACCTCGACCAATCAGAGCGCGCGTAGACCGTTGGAGCTGCCGCGGTAGCGAAGGCTACGCGCTAGGTCGATGCTTCGGTGCACGTCGAGTCACTTGTTCGCGTGCAAGCGCGACCACCAGCGCGTAGCCTTCGCTACCGCGGCCGCTCGAACGGTCTACGCGTGCTCTGATTGGTCGGGGTTTTCCGTTAATATCTCCTCAACGAATCCTCGGACAACAATTTCGCTAAGGAAAAAGTTGTTTCAAATCACCTCTACTCTGTGTATACAGAGTGTCCCAAAAATGTTGTAACACCTTGAAAGTGGTGGTTCGGGAGGTGATTTGAAACAACTTTTTCCTTAGCGAAAATGTTGTCCGAGGCTTCGTTGAGGAGATATTAACGAAAAACACTGACCAATCAGAGCGCGAGGCGGTCGCGCTCCCCGACCAATCAGAGCGCGCGTAGACCGTTGGAGTGGCCGCGGTAGCGAAGGCTACGCGCTAGGTCGATGCTTCGGTGCACGTCGAGTCACTTGTTCGCGTGCAAGCGCGGCCACCAGCGCGTAGCCTTCGCTACCGCGGCCGCTCCAACGGTCTACGCGCGCTCTGATTGGTCGGGGTTTTTGCTTAATACCTCCTTAACGAAGCCCCATCCGACATTTTTGCAAAGGAAATTGTTGTTCAGAATCGTCTCAGCTACCCCCCATTTTCGGCTCCTCCCCGAGTTTTGGGACACCCTGTATAATTCGATCTCGGTATACTTTTGCTTACAGATTGAATTTAAATAATGTATTATTATATGTATATTATACCATTAAGAATTTATTGTATCCTAAATAGAATAACTAATTGATGTGATCAAAATGTCGATAAAAAATTATAGAAATTCAGACTTAATGAAACAATTTTCCTGTATTATTTCTTGTATTACCAAAGAAAGACTTTCTCTTTTTTATGGACAGAACTTTCCGGTAGACTCGATAGAACTGTTTCACGCATTATTCGATTCAGTAACAAATTAAATATATTCTTAACGTTTAAAATCGTTAAAAACGATATAAAAATTGCAATCACGGATGTCATAAATAATGATAAAAATTATATTATTCAATAAAATTTATCGAAGCTATGAGAAATTTATTTTGTGTTACTCTAAAAACGGACAGAACTTTCCGGTAGACTCGATAGGACTGTTTCATGGATTATTCGATTCAGTAACGAATTAAATATTTCTGCGTTCAGTTGAAAACTGTGTCTTTGAGATCATTTAACTAGTTGAGATAGGTAGTGTTGAAGCCACTAACAATAAGTGGAACGACAGCCGCGTATCTTCGATCGACGTAGAGGAAGAGTCCACCAACGGCAAGTGAACTAGTATACGTACACTTGCTCGGCTTCAGTGTCGACGAGGAGGACGTGACGGAGGCTTAATATTTGAGTGTAACAAACTGGCGATAATCGGCCGATCTTCGACGTCGCTCACATCAAGTTCGTCGGCGGAACGCCACTTACAAAGGTCGGGTTACTGTTCTCGCGCGTGAACTCCGCCGGTCGGGGTCACCATTGTCGCGAACCACGATTAAGATTTTCTCTTACACTGGCCGCCAGTTTGACAGTCGCTCGAACCGCGTTCACTGCTGCACGTCTACTGTCCACGAAACACCCATTTCCTTGACCACTGGTCGTCATGGGGACGCTAATCTAATAATCCAGCGTCTATCGTTTCGTGTCGTCGTTAGCATTCGGTTTTCGTTTAGAACCACCCTGCTGATTATAGTGACCGGCTCATTGGATTTCGTGGTTTCGTAACTTTATCGACGCAGGAAGGCTAGATTCGGATAAATTAAGGAACCCCGCACTGCTCTCAAGTTACCTAATGCGTTTCATATGAATATTCATGTACGGAATTCACATATGTTTGAACGTCAATTATGTAAAAGATTGCATTTTTTAAATTTGGATGTTTTGTGTAAAATAATGTAATAAACATATGCCGAAATGAAATAACAATATGATTATAATAAATGTAGAATATATTCAACATACATTATACATACGTTATGTATGTTTATTATAACAATATACGTCATAAATGTATAGAATCCGTAGTTTAGTTATTACGTACGTTGTTTCATTTTTTTTGACATATTTGTGTAATGTTTCGTTGGTTCAGGTTAGGTTACAATAGTTCTTAATGTTTAATCTCGTTGATAAATGATTTTTCTTGTTCAACCGATTTACACCTAGTCAATAAAATTCTTGTAAACTTTATTCTTTTAAACAGAATTCAACCGACTTCTGATAGCATCTCAGATTCGGATAAATTAAAAATGACTAGACTGTTCTGAAGTTACCTATGTTTTTGTCATACGGATATTGATGTACAGAATTCACATATATTTGAATGTTTTTGTTAGACCTTTTTTTTGTTAGACCTGTATTCAAAACATGTTTATTTGTTTGCAAATTTGTACCAAATAAGAAGTAATTATATCAGATAAAAATGTTGAAAACTCTATTATTTATTATTGTTAAATGAAACACAATAAAATTCTGTGAAAAATGTTGAAAGATCTAATACATATCATTATCTAATTAAACGAAATAAAATTGTTTAGTATCCAAATATTGTTACATCGAAATTGAACATTAGAAAAAACAAAATGTACATGCCGAATCGAGTAACCTCCTCCTTTTCCTCGGTTCGAATAATATTATTGCACTTTCACGTCGTGAAAAACCATTTACCTCAAACTATTCTACCATTGAACAAACACGGAGAACCCTTAACGAAAATTCAGTATCATTCTTCGTTTCGTGATTGTTTCGCAATCTTTCTTAATCGCCAAGTGACGTATTTTTTGTGCGTTATCGGTTCAATAGGATTACTTCTTGTTTGGACTTCGTAGTAAAAATCACGTTGATAAGTCACTATTGTGCTCTGATACATTCCTAAACTAAACGAATCTTGTAATTTTATTTTCATATTATTAAACTAATTTTACTCGAAAATATGTGAACATACGATCATTTCTAAGACTGTATCTATATTTGGTTCTTACCTTATTTGTCAAAAGCACGATTGAGAAAAAAGATATCAACAGATTTTTGTAATATTGTCCTCGTATGTCGCACACTCTATACTTGGTAACATTCGTATCGTTACACACGCATAAATTAAAAAAATGTATTATAGATGACCGATCACTACTTTCAAAAACACACTAATGTTCCATTTTAGTATCAGACTGCTCCCGTTTTTGGAACGTTTCTTCTCCAGTACTCGTACTTCGCATTACCCGACACACTGAAAACGGTATTCCGTACGTACAGGAAATATACTGTAATTACACTTATCGCGTCACAGTTTCGTAATGCAATCGTCGCAATGCAATTTCACTGTCTTTCGAGAAACGAGCGCTGCCAAACTGTACTTCTCCCAAGAATCTTCTTCTCCTCTGTGTTCAAATACACACCGAACCACGCGGCATGCTTGTTTCGAACTTAACGAAAAATATCCCTGTGCGAGGAATGCCCGTTCGTTCCCGATACAGCCTAAATAAAGATTGCGACGCTCGGTCGTCGATTCTTACAGATGGACTTGGCCGATGTATTTACGTGAGTCCATTTCTCCGTGATAACACAATGACCCGACTTTCACGATATTTCCGTTAACAATGAGTCAACTGTAAACCGACAGCAGCGACGTCGATACGACGACGAAGGGAAACTATTCTTATCTGGGGATTTATTTTGGAAACAAACGAAACGTGCGGATAAAGGCCGATTCAGACTATACGACACGGACCGTCACGTTCCGGTAACCACACGTACCGGCACCGACACGACAAAACATTCAAACGCGCGTTTTAATGAAACTATTCGCACTATTCCCGTTGACGTAACGTTCGGGTCGGTGTCTGTTAAGCGTGAATAGTTCCATTAAAACGCGTGTTTTAATGTTTTGTCGTGTCGGTGCCGGAACGTGTCGCATAGTCTGAATCGACCTTAACCAGGTGGCCGCGGCCGGGCGCTCAGTTCGGCCGGATGCAAAATTTACAATAGCGTTGAACAAACCGTAATTCGATTAACCGTTACTGATAAATGATTACTGATCAATTGTAATTGCGAATGTTAACTGTTGTAATTACAATTGAATTGCAACTATAATTAGATGGAGCTACAATTAACAACTAAATTCCGTAATAGTTATACACAATCAATTTTCGCAATTACAATGGATTAGTTCTGAACTGCAGACTGCCATTGACAATTGGACAATTCTAATCGTGATTATTCATTGTCTGCGGCAACATTGTGTAACAAGTATTTCATACTGAAAAATGTTTACAAGTTTACACTTTTTCAAGGCAGTATAAACATATATATATATACAAATATTTAAAAAACTTGAATGCAAATTCACTGTAAATTGTAATTTACTATTTTCGAAATTTACATGTATTTCATTATTACTTACCAAAATTGATACTCGCGGTTTGATCTCAA